TTTCATAAATAACTCTGCTAACATTCATTCCTACATTCTAGCTAGTTTGTACTTCTTGTTAAATTAAATCATATGTTGTACTTATAGCTATTCAGGTAAATATTTCACTTTCATAAATATTACTGCAGTTTCTTATAAAACGTCGCCTATGGAAAACTCCTGAATCGATAAGGATGGTGTGGATGAAAATAGTTTTGCTATCATGTCAAGCTTCAATAATATGGTATAAATGTGTGGCCACAGTTAACAAAAAATTGAAAAAACTTACCAAAGTAATAACTGCTCAGCAAGTAATATAACGAGCAAGTAAAATTTTAGCAGAATCACAGTGCATTTTCGATTCTTTTTAAAAGAGTTTTGATGGCTTTTGACCATATCTGTCTCGTGTCTGGTTTTGTCGGCATTTTGAAAATTTAGGCGCGAAAACGACACAATGAACTCTACAACAACTGGAAGGCTAACTCAATATATACATGCCTAGACTTGTTTGAAGCCACTTAGAAGCTGATTTGCCGCTTCGCGTGTATCTCGCGTGGACTGTTTTATTTGCGTGACGGATTGTTTTGCAAAAACTGCTAACTTGGAAATACAATGCTAGCCTAAATGTTTTATTTTTTCAAAACCGTTAGCAAAATTTGGTTATTAATGTGTTAAGATGCTTTGTGGACGTTCCAAGACATGTTTTGTATACGTAACGCTGTATTATATAAAACATAAAAGGGAGAACTTGCTTCGAAATATGAATTTCTCATTTGTCGTCGAAAGACCAAAAATTTAAGACAAAACTGATAACAGGTAGTCTGTATCTTTGAATGCTGTGCAAAATACACACAATCCACTTAATATAACATGTTTCATAACAATTTTATTGCTTTCAAAGTTGGACTTGCTTTGTAAGAATTTCACATGCTCTTTCTGTAATGTGTGAAAGTGATGATTTGAAATTTTGAATTGTGGGTGATTGTTGGTTCTTGTCATTTACTTCTCCCACTTCTCAAGAACTGGTGGAAGATTTGACATGCATCCATATTTGTGTATTGAGCATTTTATCAGCAAGTTCATGCTTATAAATAAATAGCCAAGTGTACAACATGACAAGTATTGCTAATATAACCTGCTCTAGATAAATGCCAAAAAGCAACCCTCATCCTCAGTGGTTTGAACCAGGGTTTTGAAATGATTATAAAGCAAACAAAGCTATATCATGTATCAAAATTTTATAGTATATCATATTGAATATAAAATTAGTTTTTTCTTGTAATAAAGATAATGATAAATGTATATGTAATATATTAAATTTTAGGATGTGTGTTTAAAATGTTTGGTCATGTTTGTGAAAATATATGATGATTCTATAATATTAGGCTAATAATCTTTTTCATACTTGTATTACAGTACAATTTTTACTTAAGTGTTTCAAAAGTTATGAATATGGAGTGTCAATTGTGTTTTTGCCTTTTTTTTGCGAGTGGGTATTGACCCTTTTGTCTCTTTAATGGTACAATTAATAATAGCACAATAATATGGCATAACAGTTTTTTTTTAAAACGAACTCAAAATATTTTTTTGCTAACTTTTTGAAATATTTTGCGAAGTATTTTTCTTTTTGGATACGTTCTGAACTTTAAAAAAGGACTGGGGCGAGCTAATTTTGCTCGGAAACACAAAAATTACCGAACAACAGCGTTTTTTGCCCTGACAGCTTCATTTTCAAAGATTCAAACAACATTATAAGGATAGACAAGTGTGTTTTACATCCTTTTAGTGAAAAAAACGAGGGGTGTCAGTTTTGTATTTAAGTTATAAGGCATGTTTTCACGTGCCAAAACAAAGTTCGCCTTTCATCCTTCTAAAAAGAAGCTTAAACATGCACAAATGTCGTTCAAACTTGTTTTATATTAAAGTCCAAACATTGTTTAAGGTTTTTAGACATTAAGCTGGCTCGAAAACCACTGTTTTTTTGCAAAAAATCCGGCAATTTCGAAGTGATGTATTTCGCCTCCGTACCCTCAATGGCGGCGATCATGCAGGCTTCAAAGATGGCGTCCAAGTTAGCCTTCCAGTTGTTATGGAGTTTATTGACACGACAACATATTGGTGGCCTGGCACGAAATATGGTCGTCTAGTTCCAGTTTTCTCAAGATGTAAAATAACGCAAAATTTTTATCGATTTTATAAGCTGGCCAAAACTTGCGCATTTTGTTTAACAAAATGATTACATTTAACCGTTTTCTGTTCAGATCACTGATCTCGAAATGAGGCTGAATCAAGCATCTGGCACAAAACTTGAAAACAAAAAATTAAGAGCGCCGCCATTACTAAGGGACCAACTTTCGAAAATAAGGAGAAAATATATTGTGGATTTATACGAGAATAATCAAGAATTTGCAACATGTAACAACATGAACATAACTAAGAGATAAATAAGTTTATAGAAGAGCTAACAATACGATGAAATACGATAAAATACGATCAAAATGCAGCGATTTTTTTCATCGGTAACTCTACTTTGGTATGATAAAACTATGGAAAATAGCCCAAAACTGAATGGAAATACCTAGAATTGTTGGAATCATAGTTCAGAAGTACAAACTGATTAAATAATGCCATTTACGATCATAAACTGATCAATCACTTAAAATTACAAGCCTTTTTTACGAGTGATTCGGAGTGAAACCTGTATGCGTTTTGTTTTATACAGCCGATTTTTCTTTCTGACTTGCTTTACTATCGCCACGAGGGTTGTTTTTCATCTTTTGCGTTATCTTAAAGCATGATTTGGCCATGTGTTGCTAACTTTTCCATAGTTTAGTTAAGCAATCTTTCGTTGTGTTGGTCCCTAATAATGGCGGCGGTAGATTGTAGACAATACAATAAGAAAATATGACGAGAAAATATTCAAGTAAAAGTTTTTCTTAGATCGGAAGGTAAATATTCAAACGGTGTTAGACAGTGTTTGTCTTTTTTCGTCATTTCAGTGGATTTAAAGATCTGTTTTTCCGAAAAAAAACAAAACTTGAGTATCCAGTTTCATAACTCGCATTTTTACTTTTTACAGAGCGATTGTCATTTTCATCGATTTTGATAGTGCTTGAAATACTAAATGGTTGTCATCTCGATATCAACAATTGAATATCCTTAAAGACTTTGATATGTCTTAAAGGAAAACCGTAGCTTAAGAGCAGATCGACTGTGTATGACAAAAATATATAGTAGCTATATTAAAGATGTTTTCATTCTATATGTCGAAAAAAAATTCATACCAACAAATGCTTTTAGTTTATTTGAAAAACGGAATAATACTTTTGTCAAGCCTTAAAAATTTCCATTGTCAGCGAGATTTGCGCACCGCAGTTCTACAAGATTCTAGTGTGCGTGTGGCAAGTTCTCTCTCAGTTACTGTCGATGACCAATTAAAATGTAGAGAGACGAAGTTTTGCCGGACTTTCGCGCCATTACGACTACGCTCTTTGATGCCGTTACCTTATTAGTGCATGTAAAGCTTAGAGCTGTCATATAAGCGTCGACGTGTAGGCCCACCCATATTTTTCCCAGTCCTCTCACCTCCACTCGACCAATGTACCAACATTCGTGTTCTAAATACTGGTTAATTCATGCGCAGTGCTCGCTCTCCTACAGTTCGTCCACTCCTCGCTAATGACTAATAGAATTATAATTAAACTTCGATTTAAGGTAAGTCTCGTTTAATTTCCAATTGGTAACAAAGTGAGACACCTAAGGATCACACACCTGAATGATCATAGCATGACCTTAAGATGGACTCTGTTTTTAACATTACTACCAAATAATTATCAGATGACAAGGATTGTTTCGGCCAAATTTGGTCTTAACAATGTTTTTCGTTGTGCGGCTACATTGTAATGAATGAAAAAGTGTCCCACTTTGCTCGAGGTTACGCTAAGATATGACGGGAAAAGCGACAAAAGTGTTTTATAGCTAATGACGAGTCAAGGTTTTCTAATATGTCTAATCAAAAACAATTGATAACTGTTGATGTAAATGACAAGTTTTAGCTCTGCAAGCTGGATTTCTTTGTATACGATTGAAAAGTAAAGTTTGAAATATTAACTGCAATTCTAAGAAAAATACCAACTTTTACCAATACAAAGGAAGATAAAGAAACAAAAACTCAAATTAAAGTGTCGAGGAACGAGTTTCGCTAATCGGAGCGCACATCGTCATATTTGACAGATAAGCAGTTTATAAGAAGACAGACGTATTAAAATAGTCTTATCACTTCAGCACTTTCAGTTGGTCCGCAAGCTTTGCTTTTATTATTTAAATCCACAGCTTGGATCGTGAAATGAGACACCGACGTCAGAGCTCTACGGTTATAAACGTATTTTTTTTGTCAAATTCAATTTCGGTCTATTCCCTTATGCAGTGAACGATTCTGAAGATGAACTTTTGATTGAAACCCAAAAAAAGGCCTATAACCAACCGTTGTTGGAGTGATTTTCAATTTAATAAGCATGCATAAATATTGCACACAAAAAACAAACTTTTGTTTCTTAGAGTCTAGCTTGGAAATATTTGCCGCGACTTCATCGAAATTTCAAATCAGAACATGGTCAAACCATGTTTTAACAATTATAGCTACTTAGCTACGAACAATCACCCATAAACCGGAAAAACGGCAAAGTTAATTCTCGCTACCTTCGGCAATCTTTGTTGTGTATTTACGACAATACTAAATATACGACGATAAAAACAAAAGGCGAAAGAAGAAATTGACCCGCTTTTTCAAAACTTTAGAAAGGGAAAATATATAACAGGTGCATCTAACTTCGAATCCTACCTTCCCTGTCAGCCAGCGAGAAGTTGTACACGACCAAGATACGTTTTGAAATATTCCCCATTCCCACTTTCACATTCTATAAATTTAACGCAACATTATAGGAAGCTCATAATCACATCGAAAAAGAAAAAAACCAATTGCCTAACCCTAGCTCAATATATGCCTTCTTGTATTCATCACAGGTTACTCAACTTTTTCACTTCTTGCACGTTAAATACAACGACAGTTGCATATTTTTTTTTCAAAAGTAATGGCGACGAAACCATCGTAACAGTTGCATGTGATCTTATATTAAATTAGGCTTCAAACGCAGACCAAGAACTGTCAATGGTGATGAAGGTAGATAATCAAAATGAATACAAGTGTTCAGTCCTCTATTTCCCAACAAACGTTTCTCAAAATGGATAATTCAAATAGATGTAGTTCAAATAAATTGATGAAGAGAGAGAAATGTATGTTGTGGGCATCTGACAAACCTTCTTCAACTGATCTATCGAACTCAATAAATCGCAGTCCATTATTTTCTTTATGCTTTTCACACAACTGAAATTACTTGCCGTTCTATCATATTCATCATTTAAAGAAATAAGCCAACCACAATAAAGTGGTTTGTGTTATTCCCATTAACTGAAAATCGTATGATAAAACATCATCAGTAAATAGTTGTTTCTCTGTTTGTTGTTTCGCCCAACGTCGACGTACGTAGCTAATGGAATCGACTATTGAGCAGGATCAGATACTAATTCTATACAATACAAAACAGGAATAATACAATTAGAAAATAAAAAGCCATTGGAAAATTTAAAATTTGCAGTAATACCTTGCATGAATATGTATGGGGATTAACACACGTTCATACAAAATGCTAAAGATATTTTAACACCAGTTAAGTTGCTTGTTTTCCAGTTGTTACTTCTTCCACCCGCATCAATGGCATACAACCAGTTTTGTCGAATGATGCAGGAAGACAAATGCAATTATTCATCATCAAATCTCAAAAAGGTCTTGCGAACAAATCGATTTTAGGAAAATAGGACGTTGATAAATTCTTGTGCAGCATAGCAATGACACTCCACGTAACGACGGTTAATAACATAGCCAGGGGTACCAAACATCTCTAAATAATGACATCTGAAAAAAAACCAGAAAGATCTGTCATTTCATTTTTGGAAAGCTTATACGTTCTCTGACGATGATATCAACTATTTTTTCTGCAAATCAATAGGCACATATCACAGATTAATTTCTTGGGTAAATCAATTAATAAAGCTTTCGTATGTAATACATTGTTGATGATTACCAAAACATTTATTACATAAAAAGACCAAGCGGAGAAACAAACTTTATTAGATGATCATCATGCCTCAAGCACAAAGCTAGATATATTATTTCTACTAACCACTCACCAATTATTTATTCTATTTTGTTTTCGCGACTCTTCATAATTAACGTGTTTGCTTTTTTCTTCGTTTTGAAAGAAATTAATGGATTGAAACTTAAAGTAAATAGCATCGTGATTATCATCAATAATGAGTCTTTGATATGGTCAAAATGGCGACTGAAGTTCACAATCTAGAGTAGACGTTTGTTATGCTTTACTGGTTCTTTTACTTTCATGTCTTTTTCTTTTTACCTGGAAAAAACAAAGAAGAAATAACTTGAATAAAGATAACTGCTAATAAATTCACAATGGCTGAAGCTGTTAATCAAACATGAAAATCTTTTCCGGAGAGGCAAGGGGATCTCAGCCCTCTAATATCAGATGTCACCCCACTAAAAAACATTTCCACCCCCCCCCCTCCCACAAAAAAAACAATTAAATACAGTAGTACCATTGAACGGAATCTCTTTGGACAACGTTTAGAAAACACTAGAAGATGCACGAATATCGACAGACGCAACAAACACATTGCTCACTTCAATGCAAGATCAACGTCAACTTTTAATATTCTTTTCAAAATGCAAAAGCCAAAAGTTTCTATGAAATGAAATTATTACATCCATCTGCCGTTTTATTCCAGCCTAAAAAAGGTAACGGATATACTGCTACACGATTCATGATCAATAAAACAAATGAATATTTCCAATGTACATCTGTTTAATTTACCATTCGTCATGTTAACTTACGTATTACACTCATCTTGAGCCTGTTCTCGATGAACACGCGCGCAAACGGTTCAGTCTCCAGGTCTGGAAACTAATTGGCACGGGTTAGATTCAAACGTGCTTGATTACTAAGTGTATTTTTGTCCACAATATTCAGCATCGACAGTGTAGCTTGGACTTCCATGGCATGTAAACTCCTCACAACAAATGAACATTGTGTTGAAGCATCTTTGGTTTCTGGCTTGAAATAATTAGTTGGCAATGCTTTAGGACTGTCAGACTCACCCAAATCACAACTGTCATTTGCTTCAGGCTCAACCACTGAGAAACATTTGTATTTGTGGAGGAACATTGCTATAAAATTTTTGAAAGCTGAAAATATAAAAACTAGAAATATTTAGAATATACTTTAGGGTATAAATTTTTTCTTGATTAAAGTTTAACAAGAAATGCTTTTACTAACTTCCTCCTTGTCTTGATCAGCCTGACGTTTCTCTGTACGATGCTCGCTAGACCGACGCTTTTTACTGGGTTGAGGGCCAAATGAAAAGATCAATGGTACTGCATCTCGCTTCAGACGCCTCTTTAAAGGTTGCCATGGTGTAAGTTCCTGTCTTAGGTCCGATTTAAAACAATCGGGAGCAAAGTGCTCGCTGCAAACGTAACAGTATTGGAGAGGAGGCAGATTTTCTCTCCGTATTCTAGCAATCCATGCCTTTTGACGTGAGGGGTCTTTCGGAATAAGGTGGAAGCTAACACCTGAAGATTTTGACTCCGACGAGTAATTTGTACAACCCGGAACACAACAGTTGACCATTGTCGCAGAATTCGTTTAGTTCGTCCAACAAATTGATTTGCACTCTGATTCTTTGTTATGTAATTTTTGTTAAGAAAAAACTACGACTTTTCTTATCCAATGACAGCTCTACTGCGTAGTCTTTAATTTTACTTCTCTTTATACCAATGGTTTTGTGCGTAGGAAATAAATTTTTGTTCCAAATGTGACTTAAAAAAGGGAAAAGGGAACAATTAATAAACTATAAGTTTATACTTTACGTCAAGGAAACTACACCTAAATTCTATGCACGAATGGCTATTTTTACAATGGTTTTATGTAGGATTATTTTCTAACCATAATGAATCTAAATTACACAACAATGTTTATTATTATTCAATGTTTATTCAGGGCAATAGACTGGTTTCACATCAGTAGAAACTGTTGTTAAGGTTGAATTCGGAGGACAAGCAAAAGAAGCAAACGGCATTACCGCACAGTTTCCACAAAAAGAAAACTCCGTATTTTTTAAAAAATAATATTAATCGACATTCAAATTCTAAATGTAGTGCGGAAACTGCGCGATAATGGCCTTTATGGATGTGAAACCGTTCTATTAAAACAGAATACAAATAACCAGCTCAATACTTGCATGTAAGCTGTAAAAGTTGCTTGTGTATATACCTATGAATAAAAAATTCTGACGTTTCGAAAAGAAACATTTTGTGATTAGGAGAAGCATTTTGACGCAAATTTGTTTTGACTGTGCAAGACTTTACATAAAGCTTTGAGCAGCAATTGACGATATGACGTCAAATACAAGCCGCTGACATATTTCTGCTCCCACGCACCGGATGCCCTAGCTGCAGCATTTCAACTCTTTTTTTGTGAAAATATTGACTCAAACAAACAAAAAAATTGCCGCATATTTATTTTCACGGGACAGACAGAGTTTTAAGACCAACATTACGTGAGGGTGGAGTTCCCCTTTAATTTTTGTGTGTCATACACATTTGCTTTTGTATCTCAGAAAAGAATAGTGGAAACGTTTAAAAGCATTTGCTTTAAGATAATATTATCTTTGGGCACAATAAATAATTGTAAGGTCTTAATTATTGTTAATACTTAAAGCTGAGAATAACAATAGAATTACAGTGTAAATGTCACACACATGTCAGGGAAATCTCCAATATGCTTATTAAAATTCTTACTTTAAATAGGAAGTTTTATAGTTTTGTATTTCCACCTCTAATAGATGGCAATATGCTGCCTACTTTCCTTAATTTGCTTGCCACTTTCAAAACTATTGAAACACCAAAATTACAAATATTGTAACAGGTTCTTGTGTTACATATGTACTACTTAACTGCACTAAAAGCAATTACAATCGAATATTATTTTCTTTTAAAATATTCTGCATGAAATACACAGTTCATGAACACAATGAATAATTAAAATAATTTTTTTCTTTTTAGTCTTACCTAGACATTGTATTTTAACCTGGTCATCAGTCACCAATCAGTAATCACCAAGCCAGCTCTTCGCAATCTCTATATTTTCATTTTTCACAGCAGATACACCAGTTAGAGGAGAAGTTATTTTGTTCCGAACTTACGAGGCTAATTACCGTTCATCGCATAGCAATAAGTCTTGATCCGATTTTCCTTTGTAGTAGTTACAGATAATAAAATTTGTTCTCTGGTAACTTGCTTATTAGTAAGAAAAGTCAAAACTTTCCTAAAGTTTTGTCGCTGTATCAAGTCAAACATACACTTTGAAACATACAATTATAGAGTAATTGAGAAATTTCGGGCGCCATCTTTTGATGAACGCGAGTATTTACTTTTCCAAATGGCTTGGATACTCGCATAATCGCATTCGTCTCCTTCTTTTTATAACGATTAAAAAATTAATATAGCTCTGGGTCTATAAGCAGTTATCGTCATGCATTGTCGTTTTCTAACACTCCTTCGAAGTAATATCTGCTTTGGCAGTTTGCCTTACCATGTGCTCGATACATTTTGATGAATTTACCTCATCTGTTGCTTTCAAAAGGAGCCCATCGCTTCTCACGATGATGTGGACTTGTTTCTCATTGAATGTCTTTGACACAGTATGATTTCTTGTAACCTACACAGTTGTGTTTTCCCGATTTTACTTGAACAAGATTGAGGACAACTAACCAATAATCAACCAAGCCACAATCTACAATAATGATGGGGAGAGAAAGGGACGGGCTGATTCTGATTGTGGCCTATTAACTAATTCAAAACACGTCCGGAAATTTGATATGTTGTTTCCAGTACCCTGTCAATCATTACCATTACCAGCGGCATAACCACAGAATAGTGGCGTAACTGTATGAACTCAGTCAGTGGCTCAGGATGGGCAAAGCTACGGACATTCAAGCAATCAATCAGGTTACAAGGGGTTTCCCTGAACGGTGTTAACAAAGGACATCGGATTCAGATCACTGGTAATTCTAAAATTGACGTGGGGTACTCACTGACATACACAGTTACTTTATAATCAGTGAGAGCATAGAGTTTTTACCAGCGAACGATTTAAAATCAAATTGCTCTCAATCGTTGATAGAAAAATGATAGGAGAATAGATTTAAATCATTTTGACAATGCTATTGGCCGATACAACATACAGGCGTGTAAAGAATTTTACATTTGTTGTGGGAAGTGTTTAAAATTCAAGATGCATGGGTATCTCATTTGCAATTTACAGTTTCCTATTTCAATGGAATTAGGAGGGAAACTTCCTCCAACTGTAAATTGTAATATAAAAATGGTTCAATAAGTCAACGGTAAGGATGAAAAATTTATTTTTTATATCAAGTAAGTTTTAGAAGTAATGTGTAAGCAGCTTTGTGAAGTAGTATCATGCAATAAATTTCTATTTTACAGTTAATTCCGTAGAAACGAATTCTAGGAAACTTTGGACACTGTCT